TCCATCAAATTTAACCAAATCCTCTAAATTCTTAAAGTCAATAGCAATTCCCACCTCATCATGTACATTCATGAGAGAACAATTAATAATTCCATTAAAAGTCCTAACAATAATGTATTTCAAATCATAATTGTAGGCCKTCTAGTCTCAGGATATTCTTCTGTAGCCATAGCTGTAGTATACCCAAACATTACAGCAGTCCCCCTAAATAAATTAAAAAAAAAATATTAACCCTCAGAAAAATTCACCAAACCATTGTACAATTTCACATCCAATTCTTCTACTAACAATTAAACCTAATCTGCCATAAATGTGACACTTTTAGAAGAAAATCCTACAAGACTTAGAACAATAATTATATTTAATAAAAATGCAGCATATTGCATTATTTGTACATATGTGTGTGTACCCGTGCATTTTTTAAAGCTATACTATTCATATTGTCTGGAGAAATCATCCATAACCTGAATGACAAAGAGATCGTTCAAAAAATAGGAGGTCTATTTTAATCCTTACCATTCACTCCTCCTTACTTATCAGTGAAAGCTTGGTCTTCTCAGGAATACCTTTTCTAACAGTGTTCTACTCTGAAAAAGTAGGCCCAGATAGCCATTGTGTTGGATTAGGCTCCAGCTTCCTTAATAAGACTCCTATGGCACAAGAATTAAAATCAAGAGTCAATAAATAGGATGAATTCAAACTAACCAAGTTAGAGACATACGGAGTTTATCAAATTCAAGTTCGTTGTCTCAACCCTGTATCATGATAATCTTGCAAAGCAAGAACATGGCATTCGCCAAGTCCAGACACCCTGCCAAACCTCTCGTATGGAGCCAATGTTTTAGTTCCCTCAAATCTAACAGCTATTGGCCTGTGATGGCACACATTGCCCAGTGTCTTTTTCTGCTCTGTGCAATATTCCTAGTCCTGCAGGCTCACGGGCTTCCTGGACCCTACAGTTAGGAGGTTGTGTCATTATCATCATGGGATTCAGTTTAGGACATATTAACACTTTTTTTTCTTATGTTTTTTACTGAATGAACATTGATGCAGATGAATCTCTATGGCATGCTGATTTTAGATCTTTTAGATATATACTAAGGAGTGGGGATAGCTGGGTCTTATGGTGGTTCCATTTCTAGTTTGATGAGGAATCGCCATACTGCTTTCAAGAGTTTTTGGCACTAATTTGCAGTCCCACAAACAATCAATGAGTGGGCCTTCCCCCCAAGTCCTCACTAACATTTACTATTATTTGTATTCTTGAGAATTGCCATTCTGCCTGGAGTGAGATAAAATCTCAATGTAGTTTTTGATTTGCATTTCTCTAATTGCTCAAGATACCAAACATTTTTTCATATACTTCTTAACCATCTTTATTTCTTCTTTCATTTAGTTCCATTCCCCATTTTTAAATTGGTTTATTTTATTTTTTGCTGTTATGATTTTTGGGTTTTTTTTAATATGTTCTGGATATTAATGCCTCATCTGAGGAGCAGGTGGCAATGATGTCCCATCCTGCAGACTCTCTTCAAGCTTTTGTTTGTTTTCTTTGTTGATGTAAGTTCTTTCCATCACTAGATTTTCAAGCATTTTTTAACATGACTGGAGTCTATGTTAATAAAATGGACAGATAAACTCAGGAAATGTTGAACTTAATTGTAAGAGGTTTCAAAATGAGCACAAATGTTCTGAGTGTATGGATACATCTACACTGTACTATATTTTGATGATTTTATAATTAACACTTTAATTAAAATTTTTTATTTCAACTCAAAAATTTTCCATTTATGAAGAAAATTCATGAAAATATTGTAACAAGATTGAATAAAAGTACTTATGGACTTAATTACTTATGGAGTTATAATCATGAATTTGCTGTACTATCAGTAATTTTGCCAATCAACAGTGACTAGAATCAATAGGATCATTAGGGTCAATATGTTGGGATACAGCATGATGTTCTGTGCAAGCATGAAAAAACAAAAAATTAAGTTTCATTAAACATCAGTGTGACATCGGTAAAGACACTTCCTGGATGTTTGTGTTTTCACGACATCTTAGCTAATGTAATTACATTCTTTATGCCCACAAATATAAAGCATATGGTTCCATCTACAACAGGAATCAGTGTTCCTGGTCTTAGTAATTACGTGGATTTTTTTTTGTTTATTATTTAAAAGGAATACTGGAAATCATTAAGTTTTGAAAGCTAGGTTCATAAAATGAAGATGAGCAGAAAAATTAAAAATGTGGAGAACTGAATTGTGCACATGTGCCCTACTGGGTCAGGAAATCAGCCATTCCAAATTCCTATTTTCTGTCCTCTTGATCTTAAAAGATGTGCACTCCTGGGATCTGAATGATTGTAAACTAACTGGTTTAATGAGGAGCTTTGGATATTGAGCCCCATGGAAAGAGAGAGCATGGGAGTCAGCCTGTGACCACCTCATTGAAAAGACCTGCTTCACAAGGACACAGCAACTGGGCCTCTTCCTAGAGAGGACTTATTTAGTTTCTCTGCATTTCCTGAGGACAWRTCTTGTAAGGTTAATATCTGGGWGAGATGCTGAAACCATTCCTCTTGAAGCCAACCAGGTAATACAGACTGGCTTAGGAAATGCTTTGACTTGAGGGGCAAGTATGCACTAGAATTTCATCCTTGGAAACAGTGGGGGCAGGGGAGGGGTGGATGAGCAAAAT